CCACACTCACACCCACCCACACCCACACCCACACCCACACCCAACTTTCTTTCGATCTCAAATTACCTTGTGCAACTATCGAATACGAAAATATTCGAATCATTAGAGATAAACTTCGACAATTACAAGATGATAATAATAATGAATCCTTCGATCATTTCAATATTGCTATCAATCAAATGAAAACTACAAGTGTTTATGGTGAACATTTTATGGAGCTTGTTTTCAATGATCCAAAATTCTTCGAGTTTTATTTCCATGATCAAATTGCTCTACATCTAATAGAGAGAAATATTCATCTTTCGCCAAAATTTGCTTTTGATCTTCTGGCAAGTAATCCAACTCGCTCATTTGAGCAAAATGTGCGATTATTCCTTGTGGAATATGTTGAATTCACAGAAATTCTTCGCTTATTTGAAATTAGTTTACAACTGATTACTGAAGAAGAAATTCGTAGTGAAATTCAAAAGCAATTGATCGAAAATCCTCCTGACAAAATCAAACTTTCGAAGTTTTATTCACTTGTTATAGCCAATGAACAATTCTATCAGCTTCCACCTCGAACAACAACAATTGAGGATAAATGGATGTTTAAATGTAAAGGAAATCCGATGATTGAAACTAGTTTAATGAATTTGGTTGAATTGATACTTTCATCATCAATTATTGATCGTACAAAAAGCATTCAACAAGTCACAACAACCTACAGTTTAATAGCACAAGGTATTCGTGATTTACCATCGTATTGGGTCAGTAATCTTGAGAAACTTCGTTCATTCATTAGTCTTATTCGTTGTCTTAATACTTTGCTTCCTGAAAAAGCTCTTGATGTTTTCAAAACTGTATGTAAGCAAGGATTTGATGCCACATTTGATTCATGTCAATCAATTCATCAATTTATAACTAATTTACGAGACATGATTAAAGAAGAACGAATAATCGCAAATGAAAATATTCTTCATCGAACATTGATTAAACTTGAAGTTGAATTTTTGAAAGATTGGTTAACTGATAATGGTGATTCATATGGCGAAATTTTGCTTTTAATGAATAAAAATGATAATGATCTATGGTATTATTCAGCTAAAATCTTCACATATATTGATCGAAAACTTGATTTACTTTCAACATTAAAAGAGAATTATGGAAATCTACCTTTAACTGAAGAATATGAACAATTTAATCATTGCCTAGAATTAGCAAATAATGTGACATGTAAAGTAGAACGACTGATGGTAAATAGGCTTCATATGCACTTAATGCGTGATGCTAGCGGCGATGAAATCGATCAACAACTAACTGAGCATTACATACATATTGAACAGAATTTGCGTGAAATTCAAAATATAGAAAAAGTAGATAGTATAAAATTGATTTCAATGCTTGCTTGGCTTAAATATTACGCTCAGATATATGCATTTGCTTTGAATGCTGATAGTCGACAAGTTGTTCTTCCCAAAATCGATCAACTATTGATAAACATTAATACTCCATTTTGTTCAACTTTGAAATTGTTCATTTTTAAACAAATTCTACAAATATCAGGAATGAGTCTAAATGATATGCGCGAGCTCTACACCAATCGTAATATTCTCTGGATCAAACCATTTATACAACGTCCTCGGGATCAACAAGCTCAAAATATTCGCCGAACGCTCATTCTACCAACTCCACTCTTTGAATGTCACGAAGAATTTAAACGAGTTAGTCAAGTTCTCAATGAAGTAGACAAAATTAATGAGTTGCGACAGATAGTTCATCAATGTAATACGTCACAAACATTAAATTATGCCTTTTTATGTTGGTTTATCCAATATTACTGTCGTTTTATTCAGCCCAACACTGACGTTGACGGCACATTTATTCAACTTATTCAACATGATTTGAGTCATGATTTAATCCGTTCTTTCACACCATTAGGACACAAATTTCTTGTTTCTCTATGCTCGAATTTTTCGAACAATTCTTATTTTCGTCTTCATCCTGATATGGCACAGAACGAAATTCATAAACGATTAATTGCCTTAAATATTGTCGCTGTATTTATATCTTTTAAATCATTACCAGAAATAACTTGTCTCGGAAATATTCTTTTTAATAATCAGCGACAGATGCCTAATAGTTACGTACAACATCTTTCGACTCTTTGCTTACCGGGTATGGCGGTTAGTGATCCTGTCATAACTCAAATTATGGACGTTCGTACACAAGTTCAAGATCGTCTCAATCGAGGCATGATTCATGATGGAGGAAAATTTATTTTTCAATGTTCACGCGAATGTCCTTGGATGTTCTATTTTCAGGATTGTGGCATTCCAAATGATCGAAATTTATGTACATTATGCAAAAAGCCAATCGGTGCTGAACGATACAATGTTCTAATTCAACGTGATCCTCCTCAAATCAAGATGTCCATTGCCGAAGGCTTCAAAGTCATCGATCAATACATCAATAGGTACAATCAGACAGTTCGTCTTGGATATCATAATGTCAAGACTCATGAAACGAGCATCATCGGAGAAAACCTGATCATTTAAATCGACCCGTTTCGTTTCGTTTCATTCACTTACTTACACATGGTCTTCTACTTTTTTTGCATGATCTCAATTATTTGACCGATGATGATTTGAAACAACGTCTCAAACTGCAAACAACTACACATTTTCGTGATCATTTTGAGAAAGATTATGCTCTTCTAGTTCAATCATCGACAGATAACCAGCAATGTTATATTTGGTTGTACAAGCTTCTCAATCATTTTATCAGCAATGACTTTACTACACATGGTCTAGTGAATACAAATCAAAATGTTGTTCAACTGGAACAAATGATTGAACAGAAGATCATTTTTGTACATATCGATTCAATAACCAATGAAATTGCTGAATATAAGAAGGCTTATGCACAGTTTATTCGAGAACGTGATTCGGAACCATCGCTGGATAGTTTCATTGATGAATTATTCGAAGACGAAAAACGATTTCCTCTTTTAAATTTTTTTAATGTTACAACATTTCATACATCAAATCTACTGGATGAATTCATTTTGAGAATGCAAACACTTCCATATGTTGAAAAATCTTATCCGGTTACAACGTTTCTTCTCAAACGTTTCAACGATTATATCAATATTCAACATCTTTATCCAATTATTATCTTTACTAATTATCTCATTGAGAAACTCAATTATCGGATTAAAAGAAATGATGCAGCTGAAAAGAAAATTATTCATTATTTAACAACGGGCCATGATCAACATATAATACAACAATATTATGAAGATTTTTTACATGCTTGGTATGCATTAAATTTAAAAGAAGTTCGCTATGGATGTCAAACGCCCAAATTCGAATTGACTGTTCCTAAAGAAAAATTTGCTGAGAGTACTAGTATTGCAACACTTTTATTGAATACATCGAAAGATGAAAGTAGTCTTCTTCTTGCTGCGTCTATTAAAACGATTGCTGAATTACAAAATGAAATAGTTAACTATTTTCATAGTACAATTGAGCATGCTATCAATACAGAAACAAAACGAAAACAAGTACCGCTTCAATCTATTCGACTGGAGAATATTCTCCGTCTCGATCGAAACGAATTAAGTCAAAAGTTAGTCGATGATAGTCTTGTTCTGAACTATCAGTATGGTAAAAGTAAAGATATCATCTATGATTATGAAGAAATCGAAATGACACTTCGAAATATGATCAGTTCTTTAGCATTGATTGATACAGATAAATTGCGCTTTCTCAACTATCAATTTGAATTGTATGGTGAAAATACATCACTGATTAATGATGTACGTGCTCGTATCAAACAGCAACAATTGCCAAACGATGAACGAACTAAATTACATCGTCTTCTTGTAGGAATGAATAATGATGATATTCTTAATTATCTCGGTTCACTTGACTATGTTTTTACTTATTTATGAAATAATGTACGAGAGAATGCGACAGAGACTACAACAATTCAAGCATTTGTTGAACAGCATATCCATGCACATGCTTGTTTAAATGATAATATTCTTCGTCGACCACCATTTTCTACAATTCAATTACAACATATTATTGATTTATATGAAATGATTGAAGAAAATGCCTTTGATCAAGTCTTGCGTGCTTATGTGAAAAAAGAACTTGTAGAAGAAACATTTTCAGCTGAAGAACAACAACGTGTCTTAACTGTATTTACTCGTAAGACATTTGAAAAAGAAACAATTGCTGAAACATTGAAAAGCATCGATAGTTGGATTTCGATGCTCAAACGATTAATGATTCGTGTATTGAATGCTAATGTTAGTCTTGATGTTCCACTTCAACTTTACCTTGAACGAACTGATTTATGGAGTGATCGTGTGAGCGATGTCGATCTTGAAACTTTTCAAGTTGATGATGATGTTCTTCTTCAACATACCTATATCATCCTACGAGGTTTAGAAAAGAAACAAGGTACAAATAATAAGTCATCACAACAACAAAAAGTATCAGAAATTCAAAGTACAGATGGGCAACGACAAAAAGTTCAAACATGGTTCGATTCAACAGCTAGATCGACAACAGCTCCTAAAGTGATTGTAGATAAAAAAAGGATTCGTGTGTGATCTATTGCATTTTTTGTGTTTCATTTAAAAATGTTATTTGAAAAAAAATATATTCTTAATATGGTGCAATGTACATGAATGATTTATATGAATCATAAAAAAGATCTTACTGAAAAATAATATAAGAACATAAACGACTGATATACAGAGAGAACGAGAATGTCAGTAATGTATGAATGTAGGTTTTAGTGCATATGAAAATCGAAATAGTCTACATTTATGTCTATACTCATATTCATGCCATCATTTATATGCAGGTCTTCACTTGTAAAATACTGTTTAAACCTGATAGAATCCGTTTCCAATCCATACTACAACATTCAATCTAATCTTAAAAGGGTGTGTACTGAAAAAAGAATAAGTACTTTACGAAACTTAAAAGAGTTCCGATTTTTGTAACAAAATCAAAACCTTTTTGGGATGTCGTACGGAACTTTCGAAGTTCTGTAAAGTCTCACGAAACCCTTGAAGCACTCGTAAACTCTGAAGAAGGTTTCGTGAGGCTTTACAGAACTTCGAAAGTTCTGTACGACATCCCAAAAAGGTTTCGATTTCTTTACAAAAATCGGAACCCTTTTAGGCTTCGTAGAATATCTATTTTTTTCAATGTGGGTGTGGGTGTGAGGATGGTTGTGACTGTGGGCGTGGGTGGGTGTCAGACGTGTGGGTGTGTATGTGGGTGGGTGGGTGTGGGTGTGTGTGGGTGTGGGTGTGGGTGTGGGTGTGGGTTAAAACAACTTTTACACCCACATTCACACCTCACACTACACACCCATACCCACTCCCACACCCATCCACACCCACACCCGCTTTTGATCATCTTTCGAAGATAGACGAAAGTCAATGAACTTGTCTTTGGGATACATCGAATATTTCAAAATGAAAAATAAATTTAAATTATGAAATAGTAACGAAATATTTGAAACATGATAAACAGTTATCCATGATATTCTCAGTAAACCTCTCCAAATCTAACAGATTGGCGAGACTAAAAAATAGCGTAACAATTTGATTCATTCAGTTTCTTTTATGAAAAAATGTTGTGTAAAGCAGAAAATGAAAAACATTTCCAAAGGGAAGTTTTAATCATTTAACCATCTTCCATATACCGATTCATATATTCATTAGTTTCAAACAAAACCCAAAAACATATTCAACAGGCTTCGGAATACCATAAATTGAGATTTTAAAATTCAAGTCTAGTGAACCATTTAGGATGATAGACTCGACTCTTTACCCATTTTATATTTCAAATCAGTTCAATGTTGTTTTTTTTATCGTCGAAACTTCGTTAGAGTTTTCAATAAAATATTCTGAGAAGACAAAAATAATGCTGAATGTAAGAGTATGATATAGCATCCTCTATATCTTAAAAACAATGTTACTTTCGGGTATTATAATATTTTGAAATTGTTTTATAGAAAATTCCATCTGAAAATTTTAAAAACAATGTTTCTATAATTCTGTCAACGAGCTCTATCTAATCACACTAAAAAAACTGGCAAAAAACTTTGCTCAAATTTCGAATTTTCGGCGCCTTAAAATTGACGTTCGAATGCTGTTTTATACAAAAACAAAATGAATTTTCTTTCAAGTAGCATAACATTTATTTGTTTTCTTTTTTCATGAATAGTTCGCAATGATTTGTTTAGCATTTAAATAGATTATCTTGCTAATTTTATTTTTCAACATTTCGTAGATCAATAAAAAATAAATTAGAGTTTAGGTGGAATATTTTATTGAAATAGATAAATGAAAAAATATTAGATAAAGTTCATGTTATTCTTGTTATTACATAGCACATTTGCAAGTTTGCCAAAACAAAAATTTTCTTTTACAATAACCAGTTCTATATCCACATGTCATGCATTTTCGAACACATCCGGCCACTCCTTGAGAACCACATGTATATGATGGTAGACCACAATCACCACCATCTGCATTAATCACTAAAAAGATTAGATAGATATAGACAACTTCGAAATATGTTTCACTTAAATAAACATACTACACAAGTGAAATATTAAAACAATCGAAATCAATATGATAATCGACATTCGAGCCATGTTAATGATTTTTGTTCTTATTTCCTATGTAAATAGTCTTGCATTTATAGTCCAACAAGTCGGAATTATTTTATTTAATGTTGACTGATATCAATTGTAGAGTGATAATGTATTTCAGATATCTACGAAATAATGCATTTCATATGAGTAATCATCGGACCTTCTTGGAATAGTTTGATTGTGCGCAATTAATGATTGATAATGTGTTATTCATACATTATTATCTACACCAACTCTCTACAAATAGTAGCAGCGTTTTTTGCTTATTAAGTTTATTCTCTCCATGTCTTATAGTGCGTTTTTTTTATTCTGTCAGCAACAACCGAAACATCATACAGTACGATTATATCAGAACGCAAAAAAAATACAAAACTCTTATCATCGTAATGGCATGATGTGGGATGAAACATTCCTTATCGTAGGAGAAGAATCGTCTACCAGAACATTTATCAATACACAATTACAGTCATATATAAATCTGCATTTGATACTATTATTAATCTATAAATGCATCTATGAAAATAACAAGATATATCATTTTTCAAAGTTTTTCTCTTTCGATGTTCACCTTACTCATGGATATATGACGTAGCTAATTGAAGAGATTATTATCAAAGGTGAGAGTGAGACCAATATAAATATTTACATTTCAGGAAGAGAAAAAAACCAAGAAAGGAGAATGACTAATGAATTTATTATATATTAAGTAGAACAATAATTTATGATAAAAATCGGATGTGAACTCGTTACAAATATAGACGATGACACTATTGTTGAAAGATCTTGTATATGAACTTGAATAAAGAATCTTAAAGAAGTTTTGATGAGTATGATTTAGTTGCTAAAATCATGACAATGATCAAATATACAAGTACACCCTATTATCTCTACGCTTATAGATACAAGCAGTAATGCAAAAGGTTTTTTGTCATCCCTTTGAATAACTTTTTAAATACTGGTTTTAGTATTGTGTTTTGCAAGGTATTGCCATTAATTCTGAATAGACTTATGCTTTCGATTAGAATAGGTTATAGAAACAATTTGTGAAATCATATTTTCTGAGGTCATTAATCATCTATTTAAAGAATATAACATTGCATTGTCGTTGCTCAATCCAGTTTTATATAGTTGATATTTGACTTTTCACCGTAGAAAAAAAGTCATATGAGTTTAGTTCTGTGCAATTTTGCTGTGACAATTGAGACATCCAAGATCAGTTGTTTATTTCTCTGCTAATGCAATTTAGAAAGTTACGCTAATCAGATATAGAGAGGCTCACGAGAGAACACCACGAACTGATCAATTGCTGTTTAAATTTTAGTAATGCCAATTTGTAGAGCTTGCTGAGTTATTAACTGATATAATAATCATTCGGGCAAACAATGCGGCTGCAGAGTAAATTTCTGATAATCAAAGTTTCCATTAACTTGTCCATACCCTATAATGGTCCTACAGAGGCCCTCTAAAGGCCCTATAGGATCACTATAGGGGAGCCTATAGGGCCTCTATAGGACCCTATAGGGGCTTATAAGGTGGGTGTGGGTGCAAGTGTAGATAATAGTATCTGCACCTACACACTCACAGCCACACTCCACACCCACACCCACCTCACACCCACCTCACACCAACACCCACACCCACACCCACACCCCACACCCACACCCACACCCACACCCACACCCACACACCCACACACCCACACCCACACCCTCGATGTGACGTATCATGTCGTCCTGGGAAAAAAACCTTCCCATCACCGAATGATGATTAATAATCTTTTTTCTGTTGAAAAAGCTGTCAGTGCAATCCCTGTAGGATTGAAATGTGAAACATGATAGAGTTACTTTAACCATTATAGAGAGGTCTCACTATGCATATTGCAATTGGTTGGCGAACTAAGACCAGTACATCAAAACTTCCTTATACCATCACAAATGTGTCGAAAAACCCTATAAAGCATCACAGACCGTGACAGACATGTCTGAACGTCTGTCAAAGTCTGTGACGAGATCAAAAGCACATCGGCATCCTTAGTCACAGTTTGTGGGGAGAGGCAGATGGTATCACTTTTCTCGCTACATACTTCAATACTCATTTTGGAACAATCTTTATCATTTTTTATTCTGAAAAGATGCTATATATGTTGACTTGTATAATATCTACCAACTCAAATTCAGATGTTGAAAATAGCTTTTTTTCTACACATTCAACAGTAGTTTCGATGTCAGGCAGTCGCAATCTGATTGGAAATCGAATTCATTACGCATACGGTATGTGAATAAATATATGTAGACATGACCCACGATTATCTGGAAATACGAATATTACGTATAACAAATAAAGAATTTTCTTTTAACTTTGATCGTACCATCTGCTAGACTGAAGATATACCTGTAATCTATATAAAAATCAACATTTTCTACCGAATTTTTCATAACTCTCATTAATATGCGGTGCAAAAACTTTCCACTATCGGGTTAAAGTTCTTGGGTCTGGAAGAAACACAAATGTTACTGAAAAGTGATACGTTCAGTAAACTCATTGAAAAAAAGAAGTTTCTTATTGAAGGAATAGTTAGCTATTCAATCTTACGAGCAACATCATCAAAAAGAACTTTATCTCTCCTCTCACTCAAGAAAGATTTGTTCTTTTTCTTCAAATACCTATAATCAACGAAAACAAAATTCTGTATCAATGGAAAGAGCTAAAATATTAAAACTTTCTATGAATATCGTAGGTATCAAACAATATCAGAAAAAAATTTCAGATCTTTATAGAGAGACTATGGAAATGGTCGATGAATGCTCGAAAGTTGATTAGAAGAGAAATTGAAGATGTATATCTCAATTATTATCTGCTTATTCTAAGTGTAAAACTATGCATGTTTGATAGAATGTTTTTTTGTAAACAAAGTAAACATAAATTTGTTTTGTATAAATTTATTATTTTAAAATAATTAAGAATGTCCAATGTGATAAATAAGAGCGTTTATTGATGGTAGTTAAACATTGTGAACAACATTTGAAATAGGTATTAACTGAAGTTAATATCCATCGAACTTTGAAAGTGAAATTTGATCAATATTCATTTATTATTATTATTATCAAATTATTAAAAAAAATCAAATCAATTAAGAATCAAATTTGATCTGATTGAATTATTCTGTTTCCAATCCATATAGAAAGATTTCGATAACTTTTTCGAAAGGTTGAAATTAACCCTTTGGGGACGGGGTTTTTTTTGAAAAAATTAAGCCTTTTATTAGAGTGAAAACAGATGTTTATTCAATGAAAAATCATTATCAAAAGTATGTTAGAGTATGATAAGCTTGAAAACAATCAATTACACATAACCCAACATTACATTCTTCACACTGATACCTTGTGTATTTGACTGATTTTTCACGTTGTATTGTATGAGAGCATACATGACACTTCCTTTGGGCAGCTATTTTTGAAGCAGTTGGGGATACAAGTGATGGAAAATGTCTAGCAGATAAACATAGTGGCGAATCAGTTGGTGGTCTTCCAATAGAAATTCGTTTTTGACTACCATATTTTGATATAACATTTTTTATCAGTTGAAGATGAAACTCTTTTAACTGTAAATTCTTTGAATTTTGCGTTTTATATAAATAAAAGCATTGATTGAAGCCATATCAATCATATGGAAAAAGAATTTCTTATACCATTTGATTGCTCTTCTAATGCATTCGGTAAAACTTGATTGCATATCAACTAAATCAATTGTACCCATATTTTCATTATAATTTTGAACACAGACAGATTTCATGATCTGTTTTCCTGTATTGCGATCAATGTTGTCAATTGCTATCATTCGTGAATCATGAATAGTTGATAACATATAAACTTCACGTTTATCCATCCATTTTATAGCTGTCATCGACTCGCAATTTCTATATGCTTGCTCTCCTCTATTCAACTTGCCTTTCAAACAAGGCATGCCACTCCTATTTCTCCTTACTGTCCCTACTGCTCCTGTGCCTTGATTATAAATTTCCAAAAATAGTTTTGGGCTTGTGTACCAGTTGTCTACGTACAATAAATGTCCTTTTTGAAAATAAGGTTTCATAAGTGTCATTACGATGGATCCAGATACTCCCAAATTATTTATCCTTTCAATTTCTGTATCAGCACCTGTATATATAATAAAATCTAATATATATTTTGTTTCACAATCACAGAGAATGAATAACTTGACACCGAATCGGTGCCTTTTTTTGGGATATATTGCTTGAATGATAAATACCCTTTCCAAGGTAATAAACTTTCATCAATACATAATTTTTGGAAAGGTTTGAAAAATTGCCGAAACTTTCCTTGCATATGACGGATAATCGGCAATACTTTATAAAGTTTGCCTGAGTTGTTGTCGTCATTATTGACGAAATGAAGCATCCGTATAATCAAAAGATATCTGTCTCTTGAAAATAATTCTCTAAATATTGGAGTTATAATACAGGATCCATTAACCAATATTCTTTGAGTGTATTTTTCTGCGCTGTACCCATCAACATGGCTGTTGCAATAAAAACATACGTTTCCTGGAAGTTTGTTGCATACCATTGTGTTGTGTGACTTGCTGTTGATGATGATAAATTCTGTTGTTGATACCTGTTAGTTTCTTCGGCAATGTATTCCATAATTTTTTGATCGAAAAATAATTCAAAATAATCAATAGGATCATTTCCCAACTTTAAATCACTTGTTATTCCTGCATTTTCATTATTGAAATAGAATGTTTTAGGAACAAATTTTTCATGTTTCCAGTTGAGAAATTCTGTTCTTTTCTTTTTTGATGGTGGTTCTTTTTTCTTTTCATCAGAATCTGCTGTTGAATCATCAGAATGTGTTGTTGAATCACCAGGCTCTGATGTTGGATCATCAGAATCTGATGTTGAATTATCAGAATTAGTATAGATTTCAGTATCTAAATCTGAATCTGAACCAGCTAAAATTTCTGAATTATCTTGTTCAGATGAATTGATTTTCCTTGCCATATTCGATGAATTTCAAAGGTGATATGAAAGAAGTTCTGTTCTTGTATATGTGTAAGTTCGATTTATTCGTATAACACTTTAGAAGATGTGTATATAAGAACGACGATAATAAAAGAAGAAAAGAACGAAGATCGTAAAAGAAAAACAAAACGAAGATCATAAAAGAAGAAAAGAACGAAGATCGTAAAAGAAGAAAAGAACGAAGATCATAAAACAAGAAAAGAACGAAAGTAACGATGGATAGGAGAACACGAAGCCCTTGTGTATATATGTCAGGGTTGCCATCTGTACCCCATTTTGAGGTACAGTACCCCATTTCGACCTTTCGTACCCCACAAAAATTTGTACCGCTGGGGTACACATTTTTGTACCCCATTTGAATTTTTTTTTCTACATCACTTTTGAGTCACTTTTTAACAGAAATCTCAAAAACGGTCTGTAAAGCCTTAAATCATTTCCTACAGATGTGAATTGACTTAAGTGACTTACAAATGTCAAAAGTTTGCCTCTATTAGAATTTGTCTCTTTCTTGACTTCTTAATAGTATGTTGAAATTCAATTTAAATTTTTCATTTAGCAATAAAATGAAGTGTTAAGGCTTTTACTATAATGGCTCGAACAGAAATGATCGATTGGCAAGAGAGTAACACAGATAGAACCAGCTAATCGAGAAGATCCCAAATCTAGTGGGTCAGGTTTTGATTCGATAGGTTTCTGAAAAATCGAAAATGATCTCTTCAAAGTCGTCCGAGGAAACCCATTTCACAATATTGAGAACTCAAACGCTTCTTTTCGACAAAATTCAAAGTTAAATGATAACTTAAGAAGAGAAAGTCACAAATGAATGCGAATATTTTTTGCTTTGCAATGTTTGAGAACTACGCGGACGTACTTCATGCATAAGTGAATAACGCTTTTCTTCAACATACTAATTCCGCTTCTGTTTGCATAGCTTTAGCTGTAACAATTTTCATCAGAGCCGTCCACTTTTGGAAGCAAAAATGCATACATTTTGCTTCAGGGAAAGTCAATATTTGCGTCGATGTAATCGACAAAAAAGACTTTACTTCTTTTAATTTTTTCTCCAAAATCTGTTTTTTTTTCTTCGTCAAGATTTTTACTTTTAAACAAGTTTTTACAAGCATAGCTGTCTTCACGACAAAACTGTAAGGAAAAGTTTTTGTTCATGTGCAAACATGTCTTTTCTTGAGCAGGTTTCGAACATTACATACGTTTTGTAGCAGTTTGTATGAAAGTTCTGATGTGGAGAGAAATAATCTGAATCCTGAAGAGTTTACTAACTTATTCTGAATTTCACCTATTTGCACGAAAACTGATTGGAAGTGACAAAATTCTGGCACATCATTAGACCGATAGAAAAAACTACTCGAACTCTAATGTAAAAATCTTCCATCCTTTCGTACCAATCTGATATAACAAGATTTACGCCATTTAATCACCATAGTCAACGTTCTTTTTTAATTGAACATCTTCAATGGATTTACTGAAGCGATTTTTCGCGGAAAAACACTTTATTTCTCATTTTCTTTTTTAGGAAAAAAAACAATATTTTCAGCCATTTTTTGCAAGGGAAAAGGTCAATATAAAGTCTTTCACGAAACGATGTTTTTTTCTCAGTGATTTTTTCACAGCATTACCCTGAATTTTCAGAAAACCTATGTACCCCATGGATGTACCCCATTTAGAGAAATTTTGTACCTCACATGTACCCCATTAGGGACGTTTTGTACCCCATTTGAGACCTTATCAGATGGCAACCCTGATATATGTATACAGGAGAATAGGAAAAAAAACCAAGGTAGACGTATTAGAATGTATAGGAAAAATCCAAATAAAGAATGTATGATAAAGCAAGGGGAAAGTCCATTATATAATGTTATAAGCTACTAAATACACTGTGTGGATATTCCCGACACTTTCGAAATACTGATAATTTACTGTAACAACACAGAAAAATGACTCTACAGGCTATTTCCACTCACTTCTGATTGATTTGAAATATATATCACCCCCAAATTTTGAGAAATACTCCAGGTGGTATATATACCACGCCCGTCCCCAAAGGGTTAATAATGTATTTATTGTAAAACATCTGATTATTTCATTAGAGAATTGAGAGTTAATATTATATCAAATTGAAATGTTGATAAATATGAACATTGTTTGACAATGATTCTTAACTGTTTTATATTTAAGAAAAGATTTACATATTGATATTGAATAAAGAGAAATACAATGAAGATTATTTGTATCACATTCACAATTAACAAACCATTTTTTTTTGTATTCAATCCAAAATGGTCTTTTAAAAGATGATAAGGTTAATTCTAAATCTTCAATACTTTGGTTATTTGATTTGTAAGCATCAAAAAAAAAATAGAATTTTTCTAAATAAATTAAATTTATTTGAATAAATTCTTTCCATTGTTTTCCATCAATTTCATTATCTTCACCAATCAATTTCAAAATGAATAAGTTCAAATGTTAACAAAAGAAATGATTCAAATTTATCGATTATTATATCGAGTTTTTCGATAGTCAATGAAGTTAATTGTGAAAAAAAAACATGATGGAATAGATTATTTTAACATTGAGTCATTGATTAGATTCTTTAAACTTTCTTTATGAATCAATGTATGAAGATGAGAAAAATGTTGAACGATAATACATAGATAATCAATAATAATTCCTTCATTTAGAATTAAATATTCGAGCTTAGAATTTTGAGGCTATAAATTTGTTGATAATCTCAAATTTTTAATATTTAATTGAAGCTTTTTAAGACTCAATTGTTCTATAATTGATGTAAGATGATTTGCTGTTTTTGTTTTCTCTTCGATCATTATATTTTCGAATATTAAATGAAAATGAAATTAGCTAATTTTTATTAATACATTTTAAGATCATGTTTAATTCATATTGATCAACATCAATAAGAATTAATGAACGAAGTTAAGTCAGTCGTCGAAGATTAACAAATGAAATAAAGAAATCTATTTAATCTAATCTTTATTCATTGTTATCAAGTATTATTCATATTAGACTTTTAAGATTAATTAATTGACAAACCATATGACACTTTAATTTTCACACTGATTTAAACTCAAAAATAAATCGATTATAAGTCTTAACAACTGACAGGAAGAATAATCTTGACATAGATCGAACTGAAAATAAAATTGGTTCAATGTCAAGATCATCAAATATACGATAAAATCGTTCAACTGGTAATATTTCAATTGATATATGTATATATATCACAAGAATGAAAATAGTTATGCAATTATATATGAAAAAAAAGAATTTTATATCTTTGACAAACTAAAAAGAGAATGTAAAAAGATAAATTGTTATCTTTTTGTTTGAAATATACGAACAAAAAAAAATTGTTGTGAATAGTTGTTTGAAGCAAAAAGAGATATCGTAGTTGAAGATTGAGTCAACTATCTTGATGTTTTTTATTTTCCATATTTATTTGTAATGTCATTTTTCATCTGGCATAAAAATAGAATGTATATTACCTTATAATATGATCTATTTACATAAAAAGAAAAGTGAAGTTAAAAGAATTAAATGATTTACTTTCATACTCACGTCCCAAATACCTTGATTTAGATTCCCTTTTAAACAATTCTAGTTTATTTTAGGGTGTGAGTGTGGATTTTTCGTCATCTATCCTAACACACCCACATCCACTCACACTCTGTAAAAAATAAGTGGAAAATAATAAACGCTAACTATTTGTTTATTACCATTAGATAAGCCCTCTTTAGGTTTATGAGTATAATCTATTCTTTCATAAATCTTTTTTTCATCAACCTTGGCAAGTGATCGTAACCCATTACAAATTCATATATCCATCTACTGTTTTCTTTTTTTATAAAGCCTTTTTGAGTATATGAGAATGTGGGTGTGGATCAATGAAACATCCACACCAACGTCTTCAAGGCTCTACAATCAACTTATCAAACTATTTGTAGTAACAATTTTAATCAAAGTCAATAGGAGATATTGTTTCAATTATGATGAAATGGAAGTTGTCGATGATGATTGATTATCCGAAGATAGAAACAAATTGATGTAGTCAGCATAACGTGTTTCGATATCTTCTCGATTGAAACCAAACTCAGCAAGTGAGTATGTGTGACGACCTTGTTTTCCTTGAGGATTTTTGAGAAGCCAATCACGCATAGCCATTTCCATTTCATTCGACCAATGAAGATTAAAGTAATCATATATTTGATGGACAACACCAATTGGATCTTTCATCAAATTATCGTAAGTAATATCGAAAATATGTTTTTTCGATTGAGCAAGTATACCATTTTCTGATCTTCGAAATTTCATCATACATTCGATTTCTGTATCGAAAAATTGATAACATCGTTTTATTATTCTATCGCGACTGATCGAGTTTGTTTTGTCAAAATACAGATCAGCAATTGCCAACACCAAACTACACGATGACGGAAGAGCTTCGTCAATACGTCGATGTGGAATGATTAATAATGCATTCGGATAATGTTCAAGCAGTTTATCAAAAGAAAAAATATGAAATGGTGATTTTAATAGCCAATGCGATTTTGGTGCATCAGCAGTATTTAACATACGTAGAAATATTTCATGATAATCATATACATAATCTTTGTTCATTTCCTTACGAATCCAACTATCAGAAGTGTCATCTTCATCATCAGATGGAAGAGAACCCATGCAAAAATAGCCAGCTTGACGTAGAATATGATAATCTTCTTCAATATCAGAATGTGGATGAGATGCAGCTATTCGAATGAGCATATCGGACAATTGTTCATTGTCTTGTTGAGGAGATTTTATAAGATCAAGTCGTCGCTTTTGTCCAATCGAATCGGATCGTGGAATCGGTGGAACAACTTCAACATACATATCAGTGTACAATGGTGCACGACAATTCGGATCACAGGCAAGCAAATTGTAGAGTAATGTTGTGCCTGTACGTGCAAAGCCACAAACTACCAACGGACCAATAGTAGGTAAGTTTTGATTGAAAATTTCATTGTGTTCAACTGCATAATTTAGAACGCGTTTACAACTTGTATGTAAAGTATGAAATTCAGATAGAAAAAAATTTCGACCAAGAGGTGTTATATATTCATTACGAAATACACTTTGACGATATAATTCGAACGTACGAAGGATATCACTGTGATAGCCAAATTGATTTTTGGCTTGTTCAGTCAAATCATCTTCGTGTAAAACAGTATCATCCAATATTGATGAATGATCATTAGTTGTTTGATTTGATGTTGTACTCATCGTATCAATGAACAATTATTTTACGTAAAGACTGAGAAGTGAATATTCTGTATGTGTGTGTGCGTTTTTTATATAAGAGTCACCATAAAAAGACGAATGATAAAAGTGTGTCTACAATTAAACTACAAGAGAATAGAAGCAAACATGGGGAGAAATATTATGAGAATCTCGACAGGTATACTCAGAGGAGAAAAACAAGTTATAGATACTGGTTATCTTCATTTTCGCCATTTGCTCGACAACAAGCATATGTCATAAAAAAGAATGACGACTGCAAAGATGTGGTTATCAAAGACTACAATTTAAGGGACCCTCCCCCCCCCCTTAGAAAATTCAATTTTTCAATAAAATATCGAAGTTGAGTTTTTATCATAGGAAGATGCAGCAAAGCTTCCTCTTTCAGAATATCTATGGCTTTTTGGAAAATGATCAGATTTTGAGGGACTTATCATATGTAATTTTGATTCTACCACCATACAGGGTTGGTAATAACATTTTGTCAGGGGGTACCGCTTTGATTTCAAATAGAAGACATAATGAATTTTA